GCTGCCCTTTTAAGATTTTTTCCTTCATTTCAACTTTGGTGAATCTGGCAAATTATGTGTCTGAGTTGCTTTCTCGAGGAGTATCTTGTGTATGCTTCTCTGTATTTCCTGGATTTGAATGTTGGCCTGCCCTACTAGGTTGGGGAAGTTCTCCTGATGATATCCTGAAGAGTGCTTTCCAACTCTGGTCTCCATTTTCCTCACACTTTCAGGCACCCCCAATCAGACGTAGATTTGGTCTTTTTACATAATCCTGATACTCTTGGTACTTTGTTCATTTCTTTTTCTTCTTCTTTTTCTTTTGGTTTCTCCGCCATTCTCTATCTATTTGATCCTCCATCGCTGACATTCTTTCTCTTCCAGTTGATCGAGACGGTTACTGAAGCTTGTGCATTTGTCACGATTTCTCGTACATGGTTTTCGCCTCTTTCATTTCGCTTGTGAGCTTCTCGCATTAATTAATTTAGCCATCAATTCTTCCACTTTTTTTTCAAGATTTGCCTTTGCGCTGGGCACGTAATTCCTCCTTAGCTCTGAGAAATTTGATGGACTGAAGCCTTCTTCTCTCATCTCGTCAAAGTCATTCTCCGTCCAGCTTTGATCCGCTGCTGGCGATGAGCTGCGCCCTTGCCGGGGAGATGCGCTCTTATTTTTTGAATTTCCAGCTTTCTGCCTATTTTTCCTCAATCTTTGTGGTTTTATCTGCCTCTGGTCTTTGATGATGGGTGATGTACTGATGGGGGGTTTTCCGGTGTGTAGGTGTCCTTCCTGTTTGATAGCTTCTCTAACAGTCAGGATCCTCAAAGGTAGGTTGTAGCTGTAGGAGATTGCTTGAGGTCCACCCAGACCCTGTTTGCCTGCATCAGCAGCAGAGGCTGCATAGAATATTTCTGAACAGCGAGTGTACCTGTCTGATTCTTGCTTGGAATCTTCCTCTCAGGGGTGTACTCCACCCTGTGAGGTGGAGTGTCAGACTGCCCAGTGGGGATGTCTCCCAGTTAGGCTACCTAGGGTCAGGGGACCCACTCTGAGCAGGAGTCTGTCCCTTCTCAGATCTCAACCTCCTGCTGGGAGATCCAATGCCTTCTGTGCTGTCAGACAGAGTCGCTTATGCCTGCAGAGCTGGGCTGCGTTGTTACAGCATTACTGTGCCCTGTCCCCAGAGGTGAGCTACAGAGACAGGCAGGTTTGAGCTGTCAGTGAGCTTCTCCACCCAGTCTCGAGCTTCCCAGCAGCTTTGTTTACCTACTAAGCCTCAGCAATGGCGGGCGCTCCCCCCAGCTCCTGCTGCTGCCTTGCCGGTAGATCACAGACTGCTGTGCTAGCAATGAGGGAGGCTCCGTGGGTGTGGGACACTCCTGCCAGGTGTGGATATGATCTCCTGGTGTGCCTGTCTGCCAAAGCGCAGTATTGGGGTGAGTTACCTGGATTTTCCAGGTGCTGTGTGTCTCAGCCCTGGCTAGGAAAAGGGATTCCCTTCCCTGCGCTTCCAGGCAATGTCGCCTGCTTCAGCTCGCTGGTCGGGCTTCAGCAGCTGACCAGCACCGATCGTCTGGCACTCCCCAGTGAGATGAACCCAGTACCTCAGTTGAAATGCAGAAATCGCCGGCCTCTGTGTCGTCAAGGCTTGGAAAGCTGGGAGACTGAGCTGTTCCTATTCGGCCATCTTGCTCCGCCCCCCTCAAACGAATTTTTAAAGCATTAGACCAAGTGGGATGGTGGGCAGGGAGAGGCACTGGGCAGGTAAGGCATTCCTCCTGGGGGAATTTTATCAAAGGACTATGCCACAGAAGACATGCAGGTCTTGTCTCTACCACGTGAGGACTCCGTGCTAGTGGGTCAGGCATTTAAAACCTACTCGTTCCTCTAAAGCGTAGGGCTAAGAGTTGAGGGGGTCAATGGAAAGCAAACTGTTGGATTCAAAGGTCAGATTCGTCCATTACCGGATCTGTGACCTTGCACAAATGATTTTACCTCTTTAGAAAGGAGAAAATAATGGCACTGACCTTAAATAGTTGGATTTACAAGTTTTTGGTGCTTAGACAGCACCAGATAACTTTTAGTTATCAATATTATTACTGAACCACAGATGACTTTGAAGAATATATGAGACTGCATTTATACGTGTACGTGCTTTGTAAGTCATAAAGCACTGAACCAATTGTGACTGGCTGCATACGACACTTGAAACAGTGATTTTCAGAAAGAAGGAAAACACAGTTTTTGCTTTTTCATAAAAGAATAATTTTCCCTTTCAAATTGGACCAAGAAAAATCCCTGGCTACTGATGCTCTTGAATTCAATTTTTCAAAGGTGGTTCAATGGAAGAGTTGTCACTTTGACCCTGTTGGGTCCTGCTGGCCCACATCTAACACAGAAAATACAATAATGCATTCAGCAAGGAGGGGGTAGGGGTCTCGATTTAATGGGAGCTAGGCATGATGACATGATGGGGGGCCTGGGGAGCTGGCCGCATCTCAACCTTCCAGCATCTTCTTTCATGTCTGATATCTTCCCCCTACTCCCCATGTCCTGATGCTCTCTGCATTCATCCCCAGTCATGAAAAGGGGTGTTGCTAGCATTTCTGGAACCTGCAATGGCACTTTGCACAGCTGGCTTGCAGGGGCTTAAGCCAGCAGATTGACCAGGAAGAGTTTTTAACTGTTTAACTCTTGGATCTCTCTAAGAGGCTCCAAATGTGGGTCTGAATCACAGCCTCCTCCTGCCCCTGGATATTATGACAACAGATGAGAGCTGTTCAGTGGATTTAGTACTCATGAAGCTCATGAGATGAAGGATGGCAGAATGAGGAAAAGTGTCTTTGTTAGGGGTTGAGTTGTGTTCATGAAAAAAAACATGATGAAGTCCTAACCCCTGGTATCTGCGAATGTGACGTTATTTGGAAACAGGGTCTTTACAAGTGTAATCAATTTAAGATGAGGGCATTAGGGCAGGCCCTCATCCAACATGACTGGTGTCCTTACAAAAGGAAATGACAGGCATCCAAGGAAGATGACCAGATATGAAGATGAAGCAGAGACTGGAGTGATGCAGCTGCAAGGCAAGGTATACCAAGGCCTCACAGCCACCATCGGAAGCTAGGGAGAGACAGAAAGGATCCAACTAGAATCTTAGAAGGAGCATGGCCCTGCTGCCATTTTGACTCTGGACTTCTGACCTCCAGAACTGAGAGAGAATTAATTTCTGTGGTTCTAAGCCACCCAGTTTGTGGTGTTTTGTTACCACAGATATAGGAAGCTATAGCTTCTCAGTCCAGGTGTGCAGCCTAACTCTCACCTCTGTGTGTTCTCAGCCATCCACAAGGCTAGGCTAGCACAGACTAAACTAATAGGAGCTCCTGCGGGAGAGGAAGAGTAAAAGAAGCAGGGACTGGGGCAGATGCTGTAGGTAAATAAATATCTCACGGCTAAAGAACATTATTCTGAGTCATTAAAGCATCACCTGTATGTGTAGCATTGGCAGTCTTGCACCTGTACTAGAAGGCAAGCATTGGGGTGGACATGGACACCCAGGAGTCTAAGTGTGGAGTCTAATGGCCTAAGAATTCCCTGGAAAATTTCCAGGAAAACACAGCACTCCCCCACCAGGTTTGGGGCAAAGGAATCTGGATTTTAAAACATTTCAAGATGATTCTGAGACATGGGCAGAATTTAGTTTACACTGTAATTTTAGATATGGGGAAGCTGAGGCTCAGAGACATTAAGTGGCCCAAGTTCTCAAAGTCAGCTCAAGAAGCGGAGTTGCAAAGGAGTCAAGAATATGTATATTCACAAAGAACGCAGGAGATCAAGTGCACCTTGAGGTGTATCGTGGGTCCTCAGTGGCCCAGCAGAAGTTACTTCTTTAAGGCTCAGTTGCTTTCTCTGTGAGATGGGAATAATAATAACCCTTACCTAATTTTATTGTTGTGAGAACTAAGTGAGGAAACATATCAGAAGTTCAGCACCTGGCACCTGACAGCAGCAAAGCAGCAGTGGTCATGTGAGAAGTAGCTTAGTGGGATGGGCTTGGTGGCTCATGCCTGTAATCCCAGCACTTTGGGAGGCTGAGGTGGGTGGATCACTTAAGGTCAGGAGTTCAAGACCAGCCTGGCCAAAGTGGTGAAACCCCGTCTCTATTAAAAATACAAAAAATTAGCTGGGTGTGGTGGTGGGCGCCTGTAATCCCAGCTACTCGGGAGGCTGAAGCAGGAGAATCACTTGACCCAGGGAGGCGGAGGTTGCAGTGAGCCGTGATCACACCATTGCACTCCAGCCTGGGCAACAAGAGTGACACTCCATCTCAAAAAAATAAAAAATAAAAATAAAAAGGAAGAAGTAGCCTTAGTGAAAGGTAGATCCCATGCTGTTTTGCCTCTGAGTCCAATGCCCTCTCAAGACATTGTTTCACCCTTTAATGTTTTGAACAGCAATGATGTCTAGCATAACCCCAGACTCAAAGTGGAGCTAGAATATGGAAGGAGGGTGTGGGAATTCTGGACAGTGTCTCTGCATTCACAGTCATATTCCTATGTATCGGAGTCAGATTTTTAACGTAATAGTTTGGGCTCTGTGAAAACACAGTCCCTGTCTAGCCTTGTGAATGTCATGCACTAAAGATGCTCAGAGTCTTCTCCATGCCCAGTTGCACACCCTCGTCCGTAGCTCACACGGCAGGGAGGGGCTGTTTCCAGGTATAGTGCAGTGGGCACCTCGCTGGCAGGCACTTGCCGGCAGTGAGCCTCTCTGCGGGCTACATTCTAGCCTGGAGGACAGATCAGCTTTGAGATGCAAAGATGCTGGCATTCAGTATAATTCCCAAACGATTTTGTTCAGAGCTCATTTGTCTTCTGGTTTCTGTGCAATGTTTTGAGAAAGAAACACTTTAACCTTCAGGGATGCCTTTTAAGTGTGAAGATCATTTTAGTCATTAGAAAAAGGGGACAAGCAAAGATGTTATTACACACTAGTGCTCAGGAAGGTAGAAATTGTATACATACAATTTAATTTTCTGGCAGATCTTGGCCAAAACCGGGAGTGAACAAATGTCAGAACCACTTCTAGAATATTTCTGGAGAGACAAAAGGACAATAAAAAGAGAGTTGTTTAGTTTAAGGAGTGGTTCCCCAACTTCTAAGGGCCCCTCTGAACTTGAGGTTTCTGGATCCTCCTTCCTCTAGAATCCAGCCCGTTTCACCTCTCTAAATTTACCTCTTGTTTGTGTCCCCACAATCCATATCCATGCCACTGCCTGTGCCTTTGCCCACCGGTCTCCTCAGCCCGAAGCCTTCCCTCCTTCTCTTTTCCCAGCCAGCTCTTCCCAGCTTCCCAGCCACCCTCACTCTCCACCTTGTCCAAGGAGGGTCCGGCAACAGCATTCTTCTACCCAGGTGCTTTAAAAATAAAGAACATTTTCCAACAAAATAATTCCATCTCATTATGGAAATAAAAACTAAAGGGAGAGACCAATCTGGGGTCTGGGAGGAAGGAAGGTCCCTTCCCCCGCGGAGGAGAGAGGTGCACAGACCAAGCTCCTTACACTTCTTGAGCCATGGGGTTCTAGACAGCGATTTCTATGAGGCTCCAGATGTGGGCTACACTAAAAGCCCTGACATTTTACCAAACAGTGCTTTTAGAAAGATTGCAGTTTCCACAATGCTTTCCTCAAGTTAAAGAAAGAGAAGACAACAGGGTAGAAAAGTTAGGCACCAGCATTTATCAATGAAGGGAGAGACAGTGGATTCCTGCCAGCCCAGAGTCCTTCGAATGGCTATGAGGAGTGTTACGGGCATTGGCGGTGTTTGACCCTGGCAGAGAGAATCAGCAACCATTTCAGAATATAAATGAGGTACTTAAGGATTTTTGAGATGCCTGCCCAGCTTTCTAGGAGGAGAAATAATCCTGACTGGTGGCCCAGCTCCACCTAAGACATGGAGACAAAGAGGCTGTCCTTGTCCTCAGCTCACCATCGAGTGGAGGGCATGGCTGGAGGCCCCAGCCCTGGGCACACCCTGTGGGGTCTGCAGAGGCCAAGGCACTAGCAGGTGTCTCTAGGAACCTGGAAGAGGATGCAGATGACTCTGCAGTGAGGCAGGATAGAGGCAGGTGGGGAGGAAGAGAGACGGCCTGGCCTGAGGCTTTGTGACTCAGTGCGGGGCCACAGCCTTGCTAGAGATGCACATCCTTGCCTTCCACATCCCCATGTCAGGCCTGCCGAATCAAAAACCATGGGTGGGTCCTGGAAGCCTATGTCTTTTTAGCCCTCCAAGTCATTCTGGTGCCCACTAAGGCTTGACAACCACTGCTCTAGGTCCTTGTCACTCAACGTGTGATCACAGATGAGGAGCATTGATGCCACCTGGGAGCTTTCAGAGATGCAGAGTCTTGGACCCGGCTGCAGACCTACAGAATCAGAAGCTGCATTTTAACAAGGTCCCCAGGATGCACACTAAAGCTGAAGTAGCCTGGCTCGCGGCAGAGGGAGCGCCCGAGCAGCGCTGTGGAGGTATGAGAAAGCTTGGTGTCTTAGAGGAACGCCAAACATTCCCACCTGGCAGAAGCGTTGGAATGGCAGAACGCAGGGAACCATGGAAGGAAAGAGACAGGATGGGGGCCTGGAATGCAGCACTACATGATACCCTGAGGACTGTGGGGAGGCCGCGGAGGTGTCAGGCAGAGGAATCACATTTGTGTTTCGGAAAGACTTCTCTAGGCATGGGGGGAGGGCCTGGAAGAGGATCATTTGAGATAAGAGACCCTAAGGCCCTATCTCACGGTTTCAAACCTCGGCGCTATTGCCATGTTGGGCCGATAACAATTTGGTCTTTGCTGTGCGGGCTGCCCTGTGCACTGTGAGATGCTGGGCAGCATCTCTGGCCTGTGACCCCCAGATACCCGCTGCACAAATCTGCCTCCAGACATTGCCAAATCTGCCTCCAGACACTGCCAAATGTCCCCAGGGTGGGAGCAAGGGGCAATATTGCCACTGATTGGGAAGCACTGATGGGAAACAGGGTGGAGGAGGGTGATGGTGCGAAGAAGGGGTGGTTAGAAAGGTGACTCCAGAGACTTAGTAGCTGACTGAGATCAGGATTGTGGACACACTACAAAACAAGCATCAGCATAAGTTTCTACCACAACATTGACGGCGCGTTGGAAGTACAGACCCTATCTGAGATCCAGAGTCCAAAGTCAGGTTGCATTTGAATGTTTGAGGTTCTTTTAATATTCAGTTTAGACTGAAGGCCTTGATCTAATTCTCCTAACAACAATCTAGATTTTAACACTGATGATAACCAACATATTACAAATTGATATGAACAGTTTTATAATGGCTACACAAAAGGTGCAATAGAATAAAACTATATAATTGCACAGCTGTCTGCTGTCAAAATTCAGCCTGACGGCTACAGCTGTCTTTGCCATTCATTGTGTAGAAATTGGGGTTAGGAAGTGGGTGGCAGATGATGTAGGGGACCCTAGAACTCCTCCTGGTTAGACGGAGGTTTTGATTACCTGGTCTTTTCATTACATAGTATGGGAAAGACCACCCTTCTTCTTTTACAATTTACTTGCAAAGAGAACTGAGATGGGCGCCGAGCAACATTGTATGAGTCTTGTTTGCCTATTTGCCAGACTCCTCCTTTCTGAACTTTGCTAGATAGAGACAAAATGTGGGCTGTTATTAACTCAGCAATATATTTAAAATATTGCAACTGGCTGCATCTAATCCCATCTAAAATGAGAGTCTCAAATCAGGGCTGTCCCTGGGGACAGGAGTCATGCAGCATCTTTGCTTTGCAATCTGTTTAACCAGCTTCCTGAGCTTCTCCATGCACAAGGATGTCAAATGAATGCAGAACAACAAACAGGGGTTGAATAAAGAAAAATGGGCTGAATGGGGTAAATGGAAGCTCAAAGTGGGAGAGTCATCACTCTTCTGTACATAACCAAGCTGAAACTGAATTTCTGTGTCACAAAGTGCTTTTCAACCCTTGTCGTGTATTGTATTACCTGGATTTAATTGGTCTGGGGTGGGGTTTGGACCTCAGCGATTTTTAGAGGCTTCCCAGATGATTCTATTGAGCAGGTGGGTTTGTGATCAGGGCTGTCATTTATAGTTGCACAGGTTGTCCACTGTAGGATTCCAACATCCACATAGCCTGTGATATGAATGGTGCTCCCCAAAGTTTAGTACTAAGGAGGCCTTGTTGAAAGCTACTGGACTACTAGAAAGGGTACTGAATGTGGGGATAGCTAGCTCTGGATTTAAATGCGGGGTTTCTCACCTACTAGGTATGTGGGGTGAGCACATAACTCAACCTACCTGAGACTCAATATTCTCATCTGTAAAATGGGACCGATGACAAAAATACTCTATCTACTTTGTAGAAGTGAGAATTAAATGATTCCATAACTCAGGTCCTCTTAGATGCTCAATGCTCTGCCAAATCCATGAAAAGTTCCCTCTAGGAGCCTCTCAGGGCCTCACTGAGATCCAGGCTTTCTCTGGAATGTTCGATTTCCTTCAATAATGCATAACTGTTTTCAGGTCTGAATTCTCACCGACTGATAGGCTGTGCTGAAATGATATGTAACCTACTGAGTTCAGCTTTCTGTGCCCCGGCCAGGTCTGCAGTTACATCAGCCATCACAGTGAAATGAATTACTCTCTGAGCAGTTTTTTCAGAGACACTTATTTTCATTTTCTTTTTATTTTTTCCTTGATAGCTGTAATCTGGAGAGCAAATAAATTGATGGAGGTTTCAGAAGAGTATTTTTATTGTTGAATTGTTCAGTAGAATTTTTTTTTCACTTCTCACAAGTAATTATTGGAATCCTGCCCCGTGAATTATGCTTGCAATTCTGGTGACAGAAGTAAAAAATTGTAAAATCCTAATTAGAAGTTAATGCCAAGGCAGTTTTTGCTAGTGAAGTAAACAATGCCTGGAGAATACGTTTTTAGGGGTGTGTTGAGAAGACTACAATACCAATTGTATTGGTCTCCATTTCTGCTTAGAGTTCTGAAGGGGGTGGTCAAGAGTTTCCTGTGGTCTTTTAATATCTTATTCAACAACTTAAGCAAATTAGCTAAATGGGCTACTGTTGGCCCTTAATTATTCACTGAATTAAATAATGATTGGCAATGCAGACATTGTGATTGATTAATCAATTATGTAGAAATGCCTACATATTGCCTGTCACTTAACATGTATTTATTGGCCTTGTTCATCAAAACCCATATGCCCTCCATGAGCAGGGTTGTCAGATAAAATATTACACTAGATATACTAAAACACTATTCGTTGTTTATCTGAAATTCAAATTTCACTGGGCATCCCATATTTTTACTCGCGAAATCTGGCAAGCCTAACCATGAGGGATTTTCCTCCCTTTTATTTTTATGTTGCCAAATCAATAATACCTCAAATGCAGTGTATCAAGGTGAATGATGAGCTATCCAGCAGGGAGAAGCCAAGGATGAGGTCTATGCCCTCCCATTGCTGATGAATGCTTCCTTACTGCCAGTATCTTTGGCATTGAGGATAATGTCGTACTTTAATGATCTACTTTTCTGCTTCCTTTCAAATGGGGCTGATTTGCAACCACAGCCTAAGTCAAATACGTAAGCCTGTGAGAACTGATCTGAAATAAACATTCTATCTGTTGAACCAGAGTGTTATTACACAGAGGACAAATTAAGGAAGCATGAATAAAAATTGTGATAACTTTAACTCACAATTATTGAGGACTTGGTAAGTCCTAGGCAAGATCCCAGATGCTCTCTGCACTCTCAGCTCTATCAGTGCCAACACTGGAGGACAATATTATCATCCCTGTCTTACAGACAAGAAAACTGGGGCTCAGTGAAGTTGAGCACCGTGCTTAAGGTCACATTTTTAGAAAGTGGAGGAGCAGGAGGATACAGCCTCCTCCAAGATGGTCTACTGGAAAGCAGCAGTTCTCAAATGCGGGTGATTTTGCTTTCCAGGGGACATTTAGCAATGCTGGGAGGCATTTTTGGTTGTTGTGACTGGGGAGGGGTGGATGGTGGTGCTGCTGGCATCTAGTAGGTAGAGGCCAGGGTTGCTGCTGAACACCCTACAAAGCCCAGGACAGCCTGCACAACAAACGATTATCCTGTCCCAGATGTCAGCAGTGCTGAGGCTGAAAAACCATGCTGTCGTGTGAAGGCAGGAAACACAAGTGGAAGCAGCTTACTTTCCTACTTCAATCCCCACGTAGCTATGGCATGTCACGGGCTTATATCCAGAGTAATCCTTGCCTTTGGGATGTGAAAGCCTGGGACAGTGAGAGATGGCATGCCAAGAAAAGGCTGGCGTTTTACCCACTCAGTGCTTACCAGAATTGGGGACTTCTTGACAATTCGTCTTGCCTTCTCTAGTGTAAATTTCCATGTCTCCTATAAAAGCAAAGTTAGACAACATTAAAATTCACGTTTGATCGTTTCTTCCTACATCTTTCCTAAAATTAGGATATTTAAAGTCCATAAGTTTTCAATAAATGAACCACTCCATAAATTTGTAATGAAATAATTCACAAGAAGGCAATTTCACGTTAATAGCTCTTTTTATTTTGGACTTTGCTTTGTGTCAGATGCAGTACTAAGTACTTTGGGGACATTATCTTATTTACTCTTCAAACAGCCCTGTGAGATACGACCATTTCATAGATGAGGAAACTGAGATGCGGAAAAGCTAAGAGATCTCATAGCTAGGTTCTGGCAGAGAGGCAATCTGAACCTCTGCTTCCTGACCCTTCTGCTACGCTGATCTTCATAAGCAACTTATCGTGGTGTCTAAAACGCCCCCAGCAGGAGACTGTCAATAGCCTACTTGCATGTCTTGTGCTTTAGCAGTGAAGAATGGCTGATCATTGCTGTGCAAGCTAACACCTCATCTCTGTTACCTCCTCTTTCCCTGGTTGGAGATTCCCTGTCCTCTTTCAACCATTTTGAGAGTGTCTAAGTGCATCTTCCAAGTGTACACACATTGCAGATATAAAGAGTTAGCTCATTACTACCAGTGATGATTGTTGTGAAACTCCAAAGAACACTGTGTTGGCCTATTTGTGGAGGGATTGGGGAAGAGTAACCCTGAGGTGGGTGGGGAGGAGGAGGGTTTGTTCTCAGCACTGCTTCCCAGAGCTTTCAAAACCAACTGAATGTGCATATCCTGCCCCTGCCAAATCCCTCCTGGGCCTGCCACCTGTACAGCCCTAAAGTAATCTGCTCAACAATTGGAAAGTTCTGTCCGCTGGCTGCTAAGAGAGTGTTGATGACTCAAGAGGAAAACATGCTCTTTAGGTGAGTTTGGTTGCCAGGATGCCCTGCTACGGTGTATGTTTCTTAAAATATTGAAAGGCTAGTGTGCCAGTTGGTGAACAGCTGTGTCCCGAAGCCCCTGAGGGTCCTCCACTCTTGCTCTGACCACCCAGCCTCTTCCTTGGACTCCCCCAGGCCTCCTTGTGATCCGTCAGTTATGGGGCCACTGTGATAGTCCCACCCAGTGGGCATCTGCAGGCTGTACTCCAACTGCACCCAGTATCCATTCGGATTAGTTGGCAGCAGGCCAAAAGAGCTGATCCCAATCTTCACTTTTGAAACATGACATCTTTAATAGAAAAGCTGCTTAGGGAATGGCCCCATTCAAAAAGTGACCTCATTAAATGCACTTTTGGCCTTTTCTGAAAATTCTAGCAAACCCGAAAATTCTCCTATTATATAAATTAAGAATCTCTGGCATAGTCAGTGTAACAGACAACAGATTTTCATGCAAACTATTCTTATGTTGCCCCTTGTGGCTACTTTTATCAGCAAAGAGCTGTGCCCCTGCTTCTCTGTCTCAGAAATATTCCTTTGCATTCTCAGGCCTACTTTAAAATCTTCAGAGCCTCGCACAGTCCTTGATGCATAGTAGGTGCTCAGCAAACATGGAAATAAAAGGAAAAGAAGATAGTTGTGATATTACGTTAAACAAGGAAACTAGGCTACCAGATTTTATGCACATAGGAAAAAACCTTGCAAAGGAATATGTTATAATAATGATGGGTGATAACTTTTTCCTTTTTGCCCTTTTCTGGTTTTCTAACTTTTAAACAATGAATACCACTTCAGCAATAAATGCTTTCAAAAAAGAGCTCAATTCATGTTGTCTTGTTTCTTGTCAAAGAAAATGATGTGCTTGGTGCACTGATATGCAAGTGAAGGCCCTGGGGATCTGGCGGTGAACCCCATAGTGAATGACATAGACATCCCTTCCCTCCCAGAGCTTTCTCCCTGGCAAGGGGACTGACCTTGAGCAAGTACAGTAAACAGAAGTAGATGAAGCAGAGAGAGGGCTGAATCCCTTTGAGAGAACCAATCTGATTTTAACCAAGCTCAGTTCTCTGGGGCTCAGTGTTTACTGGGAGGTAATGACAAGCTATGAAAACAGGGTGTGGCAAGTGCTGCAGCAGAGGCTGTGCTCAGGTGGGATGGGTGGCTTGTGTGTCCTCCCGGGAGGTCTAGAGCAGGTTCATCTGGATGTAGCCGAGTCCCCGATATTGGTGCATACAGGGGTGGCAGCAGGGATCCAGGGCTGAGGCTGCAAGGAAATGCACTGGTTTTTGCCAAGGAGGGGAGTCAAAGCACCCAAGAGTGGGAACAGAGTCCTGATCCCAGATGGACATCAACACTCACCCGTTTACTCAGAACCCACTTCCAAATTCCAGTCACAATAACTGCTAGGAAAATCTAGGTTTCTGCTGGAAATTGGGGAAGTGTAGGACCCACAACTAGAAAATTAGAAGCATTTCTGTAAGATGCAGTTTGGGTAACATCAAATTGAAGCAAAGAGGGAGCAGTCAGGCTTTTATCACACTCAAAGGTGAAGGCTACATGGAGAGTGAGGGAAGGGCCCCTAGGGTAGAATCCTACCAGCACCCCTGAGGCTGGGGCAACCGGGGTTCAGCCAGCATAGACAGAATGGCTGTGTGTAGAGTGCAAGTTTAGGTGTAACAAAGATGTGGAGGCGTGCCCTCGGACCCAGGGTTGTCTGTAGCCTTTGTCGCAGCGGCACTCACCACTGCCCCTTGGTAGAGGCTGTCCACATGTTTAGGGATGGCAACCTGGTGGTGACGGTGACAGACTTGTCCTGCAGCTGCATTTGCATGTACTCTACCTAAGATTCAGAAAATGGCAATTGACTCTACCCAACAATAAAGCGAATACTGGAGGGAAGCTCCAGAAGCCACCACTGGCTCCCCCTCTGGGCATCACGCAAGGCTGGAGAAGGGCCCCAGCCTGGCCAACTTGAAGCTGCTGCAATGGGGTAGACAAGAGCCTACAGGAAGCTTATGGCCTTGAGTCGGTGGGGCAGGGTGAGTAAGTCAGAGATTCCAGGCTCGGAATAGCTGTGCACAGGAGCCAAGGGGGCACAGGTGCAAAGGATGATGGTTTACATCACCCTCAGGGGTTGAGAAAGATTCTCAGGGGACCTGCAGCTTGAGCTAAGCCCCTACTCAAATCCCTCTTCACCCCTAGAAAGTATACACCCTCCCTACTTTACAGCACAGTCCACCTAGAGGTCAAGTACCTCACCTGATCACACAGGTAGGGGCAGACTAGAGGGAGGTCTGCCTGGGAATCAGGCCCAGAGCTTTCAGTCTTCCAAACTCATGCACAGCTTTCTCATTTACAGTGTGACAGATGGTAACAAAAATGGAGTTTCTGGCCTTCAAAAATGGCATCACAGGAATTCACCTGGAAACTGCCATTCTAGAAGCCACCCCTACTTCTTTGGATAATTTTCCAGCTGCAGCACTGATGTCTTGTTCCCCCAATGACTCTGAGAGCTCCTGGGCAGGGGCTTGGGGCTCTGGGCTATAATTTTTGATTTCCCTTAACATCTTCAATAACATTGAGCCCAGGGCATGTAGGCAACAAGTGCCTGTTGACTTAAATTCACAAAATTATGAAAATGAAAAGGACTAAAGAGAGACTAAGAAAAGGCTGTATTTTTCAGATATTTTCTTTGAAAGCTCATTACAAGGGTTGCTTCTTCCTGAAGCCTTATCAGCTTTCCTAGTTCTCAGGTTGCGCTTTCCTCTTCTGTTTCCTTTACATTCCACATTATAATACACTCCCATGCTTACATTTCACATTCCCCCACTAAACCTCGAGCTCTAGGTAGGTGAGGATGGTAACAGTTGCCTTTATGCAACCCCCTGACCCCCTGCACTGCCTTTTGCACCTGCCATGCTACCTTAGAAGAAGTAACATCGACTGAACAGAGGAATGAGAAAATTTGAAAAATACAGCCCTTTCCCAGTCTCTGTTTAGTCCTTGATCATCAGCGCACACAGTAGTATACAGCCATGGTGGCTCACTAAAACACTTCTGTCTAGAATGATTTAAGTGTCTACCCAAACCAAAGCCAGCCCAAAGTCTTCAGACAAAAGGAGAGGCTTGGGGACTACTGACTGCTATTATGGGTTGGATTTTGAATTGTCTCATCTAAATTCATATCTGAGATAATAACCCTGCAGAAGCTGAGAATGTGGCCTTATTTGGAAAAAGAGTCATTGCAGGTGTAATTATTAAGTTGATGCAAAAGTAACTGCGGTTTTGCCGTTAAAAGCAAAGGAAGAGAAAAAGACACATAGAGGGAAGACGATGTGAAGATACAGGAGAATGCTCTCTATAAGAAATATCAAAAATTTCCAGCAAACCAGCAGAGCTAAGAGAAAAAGGCATAGAACAGATTTTCTCTCACAGATGTCAGAAGCTAACCCTACTGATTTCTTGATCTTGAACTTCAGCCTCCATAACTGTCAGACAATTGCTTTCTGTTGTTTAAGCAACCCAGTTTGTGGTCACAGCCCCACAGACTCATACAACTTCTCTTGCTCTCCAGGGTGATTTTGTTCTTGACCTTGAGCTAAGAGCAATTTGGATGATGAAAGAGCAAGGGCCAAGTGCTCATCACCATCAGTATTTTGGGCAAAGTGGTGCCGTTAGGATTTGTACTCTGCCAGGCATAAGCCACATGGGAGCCCAAGAAAAAGAAAGAAAGTACTGTGGTCTGATTTAACCATTTGGATGTGAGCAAAGCATCCGTCTTTAGCAGAAACTTTAAATACTGGTCTCTATTGCTATTTCCTATTTAAAATGATTTTGGACCATAGAGTGTTTGTGGGTTCAAACCCTGGCTTCATTAGTTACTAGTTGTAGGACCTTGGGCAAGTTTCTTAAGCACTCTGAGCCTCAGTTTCTTCATCTGTAAAATGGAGATAATAGCATTGTGAGGATTGACCAAGATTGTACTTAAAATAGTGTCTTGCATATTAGTAAGTATGACATTAGTATTAACAGTAATTTGTGTTTTTATTTTGGTTTGTAGTGTCACCAATACACAACTGGAA